GTGTGTGTGTGTGTGTGTGTGTGTGTGTGTGTGTGTGTGTGTGTGTGGTGTGGTGTGTGTTGTAGGTGTCTGTGGAGTTCAAAAGAGTTATATCCCCTGTAGCTAGAGTTATAAGAGGTTCTGAGTGCCCGACTCAGGCGTGAGAATCAAACAGATCTCTGCAAGAGCACTATGTGGTCTTAACTGCTAAGCCATCTCTCTAGTCCTAAATGAATGAATTTTAAACTGTTATTTCTGCTTCCTGGGTCAAGTAACATTGATTTATTACGTATTAATTTCGTTCATTTTTTTCTGCATTTCAGAGTTGGGAAAATCAGAACATGTATCTTCTCAAATACATAGCATGTCCGTCATTAACTAGAATCCAGTATATGTTTATTGTTCTCTTAGAGCATTGTACAGTGAAATTTGTAGATCATGGTTCCATCATGTGAGTCAGCCTCTCAACCAGCATCCTTGGGGCCCTTTTCAGTGACCTCTATTCCAACCCCGCAGAGATAAGCTTGTTTTATTATTTGTCCCCAGAATGTATTAATTAATCGTTCCTGTCTGAGAGCTTCATATAGCTGGCCTTAGAGAACATGTGCTGGTTTTGTAGCAAGCTTCACTTAGCATACTGTCCATGTGTCTAGGTCATGGTGCATGTTAGTAGCTCATCCCTTTTTTATTATAGAACATTCGGTCTGAATGGAGCACCCGGGTGACCTCCCTTCAATCTGTTGTTGAAACTACTGAGTATGTACAGGTGCACTTTTCCAGTGGGCAGATGTGAAATAGTATAATTGCTAGGCTATAGACTAAGTATACATTTAGTTTATGTGGTCAGGATAGCTTTAAATTTGCGGGGTTTCCTACTTCTGCCTCCTCCTACTAGGATTGCATGGTATTCGGTATCAGACTTTCTAGAAGAGATTTGGTGTCACTTTATACCAACATTTGGTTTTATAGTCATTTAACTTTCAGCCATCTGGTAGGGCTATAGTGAGGTAACATCATGCTTTTTAAAGAATCAGTCTTTACATCTCTCTTGCTCTGCCTCTCTTTGCCTCTCATTCTTGGCCTGCCAATTGCTGGTATTACATGCTTGTAATTGACTTAAATTTCTATTTCTTGTTAAACACTGTAAAAATTACATATTTTGTATTCTGACTTTTCTAAAGGTACCAATTTATTTTCTAGTATCCTTTTCCTAAAAGTTTTACAATTTTAGCATTTATCTTTTTTTTTTTTCCTTCGGTTTTTCGAGGCAGGGTTTCTCTGTGTAGCCCTGGCTGTCCTGGAACTCTCTGTAGACCAGGCTGGCCTTGAACTCAGAAATCCGCCTGCCTCTGCCTCCCAAGTGCTGGGATTAAAGGCGTGCGCCGCCACAGCCCAGCAATCATTTTGTTTTACCTTTATTTTGTGTGCACTTAACGTGGATGTTGTCAGAGGCCAGAAGAGGATGTCTCATCCTCTAAAGCTAGAGTTATAGGTAGTTGTAAACTGTCCAACAAGGGTGCTGCAAACCAAATGCTGGTTCTCTACGAGAACAGCAAATGTTCTTAACCTTAATTCTCTTGTAATTTCCATAGCTTTTGTCTGTGACTTGTCTCAAAGTAATTATCCTTTGTGCTGTGAGATAGGGGCTGGAGTTTCCTTCACACAGATAGATGGCCCACCATTTGAATAGACTTTCATTGACTCAAAAGGAACTCTGATATTTGTCTTGACTAGCTGGAGAATTTTGTCTTGAGTATCTTTTACCCAATGCTTGCAAAGCCTTAGAACTCTTTTCACTTCTAGAAAACCTTCAGCATGTGCTTTTATATCTAAAATGAACTTCTTAAGAGCAGGCTATAATTGATCTTGTACTTTTTCTTTGCCCACCCCCCTCTAGTCGGCTTGGGAATAAATACTGTGCTGATTCACATAAAAGTCCTTTATATTTCTCTTATGTACTCTACCTTCTAGTCTCCCCACATTATTTTACTGTGTTTGCTAGAGGGAGGGAGGGAAGGATAAAGAAAGAATAATTATAGGATCCTCGTACGTGCTGAGCTCACATGTTGTACCATTGCTAACTGCTGACCTGTTACCAGTTTCTGTAATTCCTGTAGTTGCCATGTGTAAATCAATGAAATCCATGTGTTCTTGGGTGTGGTGACACATCCCTGTAATTCTGCCAGGATGAAGACTGAGGGAGGAAGATCAGAATTAAAGGCTATCATGACTCCTAGCAAGTTTAGGCCAGCCTGAGCTACCTCAGGGCATGTCTCAAGTTAACATGTTAACAAGTAAACGTGTTAAGAGCATAGTGTGTTTGGAGGATTGCCTTTTCACAAAGTTCCATTAATTTTCTCTAGATAGTTGCTTGCATCTTCTGCTTAGCCGTTGCCAGGACAAAGGATGTTTAGGTGTATTATGGAGGGGAGCTAGTAATGTGTGTAGAGGGTTTTGTTTTTTTTTTCCTGTTACTGTGTTTTCATTTCACTGGGATTTATGCATTTGAGTGTCTGAATGTTTTTCACTAAGTACCTCTTTTAACTTTTTTTTATACTATACTATTTTTAAGTTAAAATTTCATGAACTAATATTTGGAAAAGACATGGTTTCTTATAGCCTAGCCCAGGCTGGCCTCAAACTATGTAGCTGAGGATAACATTGAACTTCTCGGGGCTAAGATTACAGGTACTATGCCTAATTTGCAATTCTAGGATCAAACTCAAAGCTCCCTATATGTTAGGCAAGCAGTACCCCAGCCCAGATTTTCCCACTTCTCATTGAGTTGCTTTTTAACTGTTGAACCTTAAAATGTTTGGTCTTGGCTAATGTCTCTGCTGGATGTGTGGATTTTATGTTGTTCCCTATCCCTGTCTGTAGCCTTTTTATTCTGTGGTAGAGAAACCATTTTATATTGTAATGAGGTCTTATTTAACATTTTATGGAATGTTGGTTTTGTCAGCTCTTTTAGCTTAGCTAGCTTTAGTCTTTATGGCCATTTTTCCTCCTGAAAGTCTTTCAATAGTTTTGCTCTTGCGATTAGTTTTAAGTGTTTTGTAAGATGTATGATTTTTGGATCAGAAAAGTTGAAGATAGTCCTCTAAAAATTTTTAGCTGTGTGTTGAAAGAACTATCTTTTCTCTGTAGATTGGTTTTGTACTTTGTGAGGATTCAGTTGTTCAGGGTGTATTTTGTGCCCTCAGGGACTATACTTTGGAAGCTCAGAAGGGGCAGTAAGTTCTCAGTGTTTTTTCAAGGTCTTTCTTTTCTAAAGCTCTGCCTAGGCTAAAAGCTTGAAGTTCTAACAAGGGTATGTATTGATGTTAACATCACGGATTGGTTGTTTTGATTTATGGAACGTAGGCGAATGTGGCATCAAATTAGATCTGCAGTTTTTCACAGCATTCATTATCAGGATATAGCTCTTTATGTCAGTTCTAAAGCATACACCGGAATTTTTTCACTTGGTACTCCAGATTGGCCTTAACTCTTTTTCTTCTGCACAATTCTGATTGAAAGTAGGTTATACTCTGTTGGGGTCATGTCCTAGATATCGTGCCTAATTTGTAGAGACTATAGATCCTGACATTTGCTTAACAAACCACAACAGAAGCAGCTGAATTGTCAGTTCACATTTTAGCCTTACTAAATAAATGTGTCTCCTATATATGGCTCAGAGGCCAAAGATTTGGCCAGGCTCCACAAACTATACTTCTGACTTCTAGGCCTTTGCTTTGGGATTCCCAACCTTGTTTTCCATGGGAATGGTTGCTTTCCTGTCTGGTTCTTCAAGCCATTTCTATTAGAATTTTAGCCAGCCTGTGGCACACATAAAAGAAACAAAAGCTAAGTTGATCTCAGGTATTTAATTGCTTTTATTCTCTCCAGCCTCTTAATATATTTTAGTCAGAATTTATCATTGCTATCAGAAGGCAAGGGTGGGAACTGACTCAGTACAATAAGGACTTGAGTTCAATTCCCAGAACCCAAAAAAGGCAAGCATGGTGACTTCTGCTTGGGATTGTAACACTGGGAAGGTATTGGACACAGGCTCAGTTCCAGGCCCGCAAGTGACTAGTGGGATTGGTATGGTGACTCAGGGAGGTAGGTGACTCAGGTAGAAGGATCATTAAAAGTCTGAAGCATCCTGGGCTACAAAATGCACTCCAGGCCAGCTTGTCTGTTTTAAAGCAACCTTGCCCCCCCCCCTTTTTTAAATGTTAGAAGGGCTTGGAATTTTATGGTGATTTACGTAATGTCTTTTGACAATAGAAATATGTTCTCTTTATGAGAATAGAAAAATGGCTACTACAAAGGTAGCCATTGCAAGGGTTTGGCGTCAGGTAGAAACTTTGTCCTGCTAGTTATGTGATGATGGTTCTTAAGCCCACTGCACTTTTATCTATAAATGGGCATACAAACACCTATCTTGGGATATAGATAATTCATACTACTACTAGCTACTGACCACTCTTCCCCCAATTCAATCCATATTTTAATCTATGGAACCATTGAGATCTGAGCTAGCCACACTTTATGTAATCTTTGATCCACTGGCAAACTTTGGGGGAAGAAAACCTCTGAGAATATGCACTACAAATTTGGAATTTTCCTCTTCCTATTCTAGGAATCCCCTCCTAGTGCAGATAATTACCGTGTATCAGAAGCTGCATTATTCCATAATAAGGAAGGTGGGCCTGGATTACCACAGAAGAGGAAGACTCCTGCAGAGAATACCATCAAGCGTCCGCGAGTGTGCTGATGATCTTCTGCCCACCAAACAGTGAATGTTTTTGAGCTTAGTGCATTTGCCTAAAACCTGTAAGGCCCTGCAGTGCACAGTGAGGAAATTTTCAGCTACAAGCTGAACATGGGTGTGATGCGTTTGTGTAGCAGTTTAATACACCTGAAGGACTGATGCCTTTAACCTGAATTTGAATCACAGGACTGTTCCTAATAAAAAGGAACTAAACTAGCTTGTCGAGCCACACTCAGTACAGAAGGACTTTTCTTGTAAATATGAGGCTGTAGTAGTTTTTAACAAGGAGATAGATTTGTTTCAAAAATGTCTTAGTTCATAAAAGCAAAAGTTATATATTAGGGTTATTTCATGTTTTCCTGACTTTTATATATGTATTCTTGTCATTTAACCTTTTTAACAGCCTAAGCAGAGGTAATGAAGCTGGGGCTTTAAACTTAAAATGTGTATATATGTAAATGTGTATATGTATAAACTTCTATCATTTGCCAAACATGGGCACCAAAACTTTAAGTGAGATAAAGAATAAAAAATAGTAGCTCAAACTGTATCAGAACTGTTGATATTTCCAAACTTAAAAACAACATTGGCTGGATGTGAATCCCAGCTATCTCAAAACACACAGACATATGAGATGGCTGCTGTAATCCCAGCAGCACTCAGATTGTGAAGTAGGAGTTTTATTTAGTCCAGTTGGAATGAGACTATTCAATAAAGCAAAGACTAAAGAGGCATCACTGGTTAAGAGCCACCAACACCCTTAGAAGGTAGCCCACAACTGCCTATAAAACTACAACTCCAGAAGCATCGAATGCTCTGAGCTCGCTCCGTGCATACCAGCACTCAGGTACAGACAAATATACTTTTTAAAAAGGTAACAAATTTGATGTGCTTCAAAGTAACTTGGTGCACTGGCCCAGGTTACCCAAATGTCTTAGCTCCCTGGATAAAGTGGGCTGTACCAGCATGAAGGGGTCCCTAAAATCCACATAAATCCGGGGTAGGGTCCCAGAAATCTAAACTGGCTAGCAGAACGGCTCTAAGTTCAGTGACTATCACAAAAGGGCAGAGGGGCTAAAATCCCAGCAGTTGGAAGGAGGCAGGCCAGCCTGGGCCATGTGAGATTATCTCAAAACTACAGTAAAAAAGACAAAGCACTTTACAAACCACATAAGGTAAGGTTCTGACACCTAGAATATATAAAGAATTCAGTAATAGCCCAAAGTAAACAGGAAGTACAGGAAATTATAGATGCCAAAACCACTAAGGAGATAGTTCATGCTTTGCAGGAGAGTTAGAATCATATTTGCTGGGATGGATACACACAGCCACTTAAAATAGTTCCAGTTCTGACAATATCATGTGACTCAGTGATTTTATCTTTAGGTATCTACCAAAGATAGGCAAACAAATGTCCACTTAGGAACATGCATATCTATACAACTGGTTTACTTGGCATGTTGTACTAATACTGTAACATGGATTGCCCTCAAAAGCATGTTTGTGAAATGCCAACCACAAAACAACACCCATTGTTCATGTGAATGCTCAGAAGAACAAGCCCATAGATTATGGGATGGAGGCAATAGGTGAGACAGAATGACAACTCACTGGTAAGGCATTTTTGGTGTTGAAGAGTTTGGAGTTTGGGAATGAACAGCTACAGTGGGCATGTGCCCTTGAGAAAACCAAGAATTATGTCAACTGAGTTGTTTTATAACCCTGCTAGCTTTGCAACAAGCTATGTAGATTAGGTTGGCCACAAAATAGTATCTACCTGCCTTGCAAAACAAGTGTTGAGATTTATAGCCATTAAGTAGCCACAGGATGAGGATTCCAAGGCCAGCCTTAGCTACAAAGCAAGCTTGAGAGCAGCCTGTACTCATGAGACCCTAGCTCTATAAAGCCTATGGAAGCCTAGACTGAGATCTTGAGCTTAAAGCCCATCTTAACTACATAGAGGCCAGGCGGTGGTAGTGCACGCCTTTAATCCCAGCACTTGGGAGGCAGAGACAGGCAGATTTCTGAGTTCGAGGCCAGACTGGTCTACAGAGTGAATTCCAGGACAGCCAGAACTACACAAACCCTGTCTCAAAAAACAAACAAAAAAAACCTACATAGTATAATTAGAAACTTTAAAAAATGTATGTAGCCTGAGTAGAGAGTACTTTGCCTTGCATGTTTGTAGCCCTAAGGAAGAGTAAGTTTTGTATTTTCTATTTTAAATAAGCAGTTAAGGAAACAACAACCCCAAAACTGGAGATACATCAGTGGTTAAGAGCGCTTGATGCTCTTGCTGAGAACCAGAGTTGAGTTTCCAGCACTCATGTAAAGAAGTTTGTGCCTCATATGCTCTAGGATGTCCAATATTTTTTTGGTCTCTATAAGCATCTATACACAAGTGATATATGTTCACATAAGCATACATGAATATTTAAAGCCAAAACCAAGTACAAAGAATAAAAAGTAACAATTTAGATTCCATTACCAAAAAAATGGCTTACTGAAAAATGCTGTTTCTTTTAAAGATGTGTAAAGGCTAGAGAAACAGCATTGGCTGCTCTGGACCTAAGGTTTGATTCCCAGTGTCCATAGTGACTAACCTTGTTAACTCCAGTTCCAGTAACTTCTTTGGCCTCCAGCACCACTGACATATATACACAGGCAAAACACTCATCCACATTTGAGAGAAGAGGAAAAAACCAAACCCTAAAATCATTTAAGCCCAGAGATGGCCCAGAAAGTAAATGAGAGTAAGAGGGGGGGGGGAGGAAATGGTGCAGTTCCAGAGACAGCTCTCTGTAATGAACAGCTTCCAGCATGGCAAGTTGAGTTCAAGTTCCTGGGACCCAATTACGGGATGAATCACCTGAAGATTGTCCCCTCAATTCAATCTACACACACACACTTTAAAGATGGAACCATGACCGAGGAATATACCCGATATATTCCCAATAGATTTTGACCTCTAGCCCACACCCTCTTCTATCTTCTGTCTCTGATAAAATGGGAACTTGAAATCAGTTTAAGAAAAGGCTTTAGATCCCCCTTATCATAACAAAATCTACTGAAGCTCCCAGAACATGGTTCAACAGTTTTTCATATGGAGTATCTCTGACATGTAACCATTTTCACCCATGCCTTTTAACACTACAGAATTTGGCAAGCATTTCTAAGTACACTATTGGAGAGCAGGGTCATCTCCACAAGTGGACTGGACACTGTTCTCCATTCAAGAGTTTAGGCTAAGGAGTTTCAATAGAAAGCATCACATCCCACCATCCACAGGTTTACTGTTTATTCAATGTTAAGTGTTACAGAGTTCTTACACTGTCAGAACCATGCCTGAGAACCCAAAGAAAGAAATGGTTGCAATGGACAGCCTCATCCACCCAGACAGTGTATTCAAACTTGATTCATATGCATTTTGATAATTTCACAATCTTAAAAAATTATAACAAGACTTGGAATTTACATCTGCAGGTCTTCAGCGTTCCAGTACAGTATGCCATTAAACAAACCTCATCATGCCTCTGTTCACTTCGTAAACCCTAACCCCAAACAGAATGTGTGTGTTTGTGTTTGTGTGTGTGTGGGCGTGTGCACTGCTGCTGGGGTAAAGCATACTTTAAGGGAAGTTTGTGGCTCAAGGTGTGAGATTACTTGTTAAGGTTTCTGGTGCCCAAACTAAATCTTAAGAATCTCAAGCCTCTAATCACCCAACCTCCTGGCTGGCTCAGATCATGCCAACATTATTGCCCAGAAGGAGACGCTGGCCTACACCTCCTGCTTCCCACACCGCTGCACTAATCCACTAAACTGCAAGACACGTTCTCAAGCTGGGAAAACTTCCCCCATTACCTGTTCCACTCCTGTCAGTAGTGAGCAAATCTGAACTCTGGCAAAGGGATTCATTTACAGACAGAAACTGAGGCACTGCCATCATAGTCATATGCCAATACAGAGTATGTGTACTGAACCATTTGTAGTGACATGGAAGTAGGTAACTGACAGACTATTTCATTAGGTGGAAAGAAATTTAGCAGTAACCTCTTCTAAGAGCCAATTGCTACTAGTTAAATTGTAACTACTAACAACAGAAGTGCTACATTACTGGCTATTCCCCTGCCTCTCCAAGTGAATACTACAAACATACTCCCAAGGTGAATGACAAGAGCTGGCTAAACAATGAATGGATCTACAGAACAGCTCATAACCTTCAAATTTGGGGCACATACAAGGATTTATTAGACACCGATTCACAAGCAACTTCTTTTTTGCTCCTGTTGCTATGAACTGTTAAAAGCCAGGTCGGTGAAACCCTCTCCTTTTGACAACACCCTCCATCCACAGCAGTTCAATTTAGACCTGATTAGGAGGCTTGTGCAGCACCTGGAGTGGAGCGGATCCGCTGTCCTTTATATGTAACAAAGGCTATCTGGTTCCACTTAAGGATTGGCAAATTCATAGGGCATTTCACAATTCTAATGCTTCTATTTTACCACACAGTATGCCCTCAAAGAACTTACTCCAAGTCAAAGCAAGGCCTTAATGTGGAACAAGCACTATCTGAATGAAAAATTATTCAAAAAAACAAAAAACAAGACTAGCCTCCACCCACTCCCCATTTGGTAGACCCAAATTTGGTTGAATTAAATCCGTAGTTATCTCATACAACTAAACTTAAATTATAAATCATAAGCCCCACACAGATGATCCAAACACATTATTTTTGACAGCAGCTTGTTCCAGGAAGTCTAACATAGCCACAGCCTATAAAGTATTCCTCAGGATGGGGCACAGAACAGGTTAATTAAGGTCACTTAACTCTTCATCTTTTACAGCGGATCAGAACCCAGATGGCTGATTTCTGAAGGCTTTCTGACAGGAATCCAGTAGAGTTGGTTTCAAGGTTCACACAGACACTTAACAGCTGTAACCTTATGGAGAAGTTGTGATCCACATGAAATCCACAATTAATTAAGTGCAGCAAATCTGAGGTAGTCAATCTTGCGAAGGCTCAGTATCTGAACATAAAGATGTTTGAAATGACCACTGGCTGCAAGTTTGGTTTTATACGTAGAGCGAGCAACTATGGAAAACACTGTTGAATCTAATTCACAAATATTTAAGACAATGAAAACACCCCTAAATCCAACACACATCAAAATCAGTCGTGACTCTTGAACTTCCATAGTGCAACAGGGACAGTCACTGGACTCGAGGTCTTCAGTCAGTCACTGTAGATCCAGAAATCAAAACGCTGAATGGCTGTTCTTGGTGGTTTGCTGTGGTCTATCTAGTCATCTTGGAAGGCTTAGCAAAGACCATTCCTTAACTGTACTGTGTGTGGCTGTACTTCTGATTTTCAAGCACAGCATACTGGTTGTCTAGCTGAAGTTTAAGGACCTGGTTTTTTGAAACCTCCTCCCTACCTCTATTTTTGTGTCTTACTACTTCAAAGCTCTTCTCCATTTCTTTATCCCTAAGGGGAAAGAAATGTAATCAGTAAATATTTCTTCTTCACTAGGGAATTTTTAAAGTATTCTT